CCTGCGGGGGGCGGGCGCGCGCTGCGGCCGCGCTGCGTCACGCACCGCCCGCCCCGCCCCGCCCAGTGTGGGGCGGGGGGGGGCACCGGGGTCGACCCCCTCCGTCCCTCCTTTTCTTCCCCCCGCATCTGCCCGCGTCGAGGGGGCCGTAGCCCGCCCCCTCCGCTGCCGGAAGCAGGGAGGGAATGGGGACACCGCGGGTCCCGAGGGGCGAGCGGCGGCGGCCGCGGAGCAGCGGCCGAGCCTCGCCGGGGCCCGGCAGCGGCGGTACCGTTATAGGCGCGCGGAGTGGCGCGAGCGGCTCCCGCACGTGCCGGCGGGGCGGGTCCCTCTGCCGGGCGCGAGGCGCGAGGCGCGGCGCGCGCGGTAACGCCGCGGGGCGGGAGCGCTGAGGGCAGGTGCACCATGGAACCATGGAATGGGAAAAGCTGGGAGGCACCGCAGTCTGGGCCAAAATGCAAGTGGGGTCAGCCTAGAGCACACGGCTCAGGATTGCTTCCAGACGGTTCCCGGATAACCCGGAGACTCCACGATCTCTCGGCGACCTGTTCACTTGCTCACTTCTCCCCCACACCCAGTGTGGGGGTAAACAGAAAAGGAAAAGCAAGGAAACTCGTAAGTCAAGGTACAGCTCAGTATGTGAAAAAATAAGAGAGAAGGAAACCAGAACAAGGGCTCAGGCAGTCACTGTCCACTCCCCAGGGGTATGCCAGTTCCCAGGAAAACGATGGTTAATTTCCCTCTCTGCCCGGGAGCACGATGTTACACAGCTGGTTTAGTGGTGTCACCTGCCCCTCCATTTGGCACCCCCAGTGTTCACTGGGGCAACAGAGTAAGAAACAGAAAACGCCTCGGTGCCGATGCTGTTCAGCAATGACAGCCCACCCAGCTGCTGTAAAGAACATTGAGTCAGATCCAGTACTATAGATCACAAAATATCTTCGAGAGGGAGGATGGTGAGGTCTTCCACCTGAAGAGACATGGTGTTGTCAGTGTCATGTAATGCTCATACATATATTCAGCAGTAAAAAAACACAGCCCCCTGTATCTTGGCCTGGAAATAGGCAGGGGTCTGGGACAGCTGGCCTTAAGCTTTTGAGAAGACTTTGCAAGAATACTATAAAAATTTTATAATCCAGAATGATTTCCTTCTTCCAAATAATTACTTGGGAAAATGAGATGTTTGGTAGAAAATTAATTTATATTCTGGGAAAATATTTCTAAAATTCTCGGGGGAGAGGAGGGGAGAGTCAGTTGTGGAGAAACAGAGAAACTATAAAAGGCAGTATCACATTTCTGGGAGAGGAGCAAAAATTATCTAAATCTAAGCAAAGACGTAGTTGAATGATGGGAGTAAAAGAATTTTTAAATTTGCCGTGCCTCGCTGGAGCACAGGGTGGAGGTAATGATTCAGGTCTGGGTCCATTGAAGCGAAGGGCTCCCATGATACAGCTTCCATACAACAAAAAACAGACCTGTACTTCATAAAGTTTTAGGTTTTGTGATGTATCCATAATTTTGCTGTGGTAATTGATTCTCACCTGTTGGCATTTGTCAGCTACCTCAGCCTTATTTCTTATCCATTTTATATTGTTTTTAAAGAAATATTTAAATTTTAATTTTTAAATTTAATATTTAATTAAAGAAAGATTCTCTCAATATGTTTAAATTAGTGCAGATGGCAATGAGTGTATGCAGAGTTTGCAGGAATAATGCCTGCTGGATTCACATTTACAGACCAGGTTGCTTGTGATCTCTGGGAACATTTAGTGCACCCTGGACTGGTCTGTTAAAAACCTATGCTGTGGGCATCCAGGAATGAGCTGCCTAACACATAGGAGGAATGGTAGGATAATCAGATGCTGTAGGGCATCTGTTCTGAAGTGCAGGTAGGCATTACTTGATTGCAACAGGTAATCTCGAGTGGTAACAAATCGATACAGAATCATAAAATGATTTAGATTGGAGGAAGCCTCTGAAGTTCAAAGCAGGGCCAACCTTACAGTAAGTTTCTCAGTTTGCTCCTCCCAAATGGTCTCATTATGCCTTTGTTGTCAGCTCACTATGAGGGATTCCACCACTGAGCAGTGCTCTCAGAAAAGGGAACATAACTGAATCATTGTTGCTAATTTAATTGTTCTATAATGGCTCTGCTACGCTGAAATCAAAATTGCATTGGTCTATTTATTAATTGAATTTCATGGAGTGTCTTCACAGACACAGGTTTCCCTAGGTAATCTTAACTTTTGCATGATGGTTTTTGTTGCTGAGTAATTTGCAAAAAATTGCAAACCACTTAATCTTCACAGCAGAAGCATTTTCAGACTGCTTTGTTGCAAATGCAGTTTTCTATTGTATTCATAGTAGGACAAAATATTTCCAAAAGCATCCTGAGATGCTGCAGCAAAAATGCATTTATTTTGTAACAACGTTGTAGTTTCTTTTTCAGCTTTTCAGTTCCCCTGATAAACCCACATGCTACTAAGGCTCATAATTAAAAAATAACCATTGATGTACATCTGCAGGCAATTTTTTAACATACCTTTTTCACCCACAGTCTCTTGAGAGTAGTGTTTACTGCCAAAGTCCATTCATTTGGACAACAGCCAGGATATCTTTGCTTTTACGCTCTTTGATGGGACAGTGCAGGTAAGAAATCTTTAGAGGTTAACTTTACTAGTACTGGAGATAGAAAATTCAGTTTTATTCAGTCTGAAATCTAGTTCTCCAGACACAGCATGGAGCTTCCTTAGCTTATGTCTCTGATAGTCCTTTGGTTCTTTCTGCTTCTTTCTCCAGTTGCAGAAAGATGTAGAAATCTTCCACTGTTCAGTTGGGAAGAAACATAAACTGATTCAGCTTCCTGCAAATGAAAAGCCAGTGCCTTACACAAGACAACAGAATTAATAATTGTTACCTCAATGCTACATACACTATTGCAGTGTGGCATTTTGCTCCAAATCTAGAAAAATCCAAATACAACTATGCAACTGCCAGTCACTGGTAGTACTTTGTGCAGGGGACATCATCCAGGAAGGCATTACTTGTTAGTTATTTTTGTTTTGTCCAATATTTAAAAATAAATCGTCATAATGCTGTGAAAAGGGAGTGAGCATCACATAAATCCTGTTCATCACTCCAGCTGTATATACACCTGGGTAGAATGGTTTACAAAACTCCTTTGTGGATGAATGTAATCACTTCTGTTTCATAATGTATTTCATATTCATAACACTACTTAAAGCTCACTCTACCAAAACTTTTAAATGTGTTTGTATATACTGCCGAATTAGGTTTTCAGCGAACAAACTGCAAGCTCCCACACAAAAGCGTAGGATATTCTGCTTTTAGATGATAAAACCTGTTGTACAAGACACTGAGGATTAAATTCTCATACTTGCATGATTGATGCCAGTGTGTTGTCCATAAAATGGTTTTGTCGGAAGGGACCTCAAGCATCACATAATTCCAAGCCCCCCACCATGGCCAGTGACTTCATTACACACATCCAGTGTCTCCTTTTGTTGCAGATGAGGAGAGCATTTAAAGTCTGATCTCTTACAGAAGAAACGGATCATGCCATGAGAAACACCGTGCCATTCCAATGCGTACCCATCATAAGCATTTTCAACAAAAATGCGCTGATACTAATGGTATGTTATAACTGGAACGATTTGTGTCCTGCAGCTCCTGCTGTGACCTAAGAAACACCTTCATGATGAGGCTGACACTTCCAAGAAAGCTTCTGAAACTGCTGGATTGTTGTCCTATCCCTAGAGTATGTCTCTGCATTGGGTATTCAGTAAGGAAGATTCAAGATTTCTTTTACAGAACTTTCAAGGCTCGCTAACACGATTTTTGTGTTATGGAATCTATATTCCTGGGCATGTGAAAGTTTCAGTTCAAATACCCCTGTATAATGAGGGACTTTGGAAGCTGGAAGTTGACTGATAGGAGAGAAGGCACCCTTGTCTCTCAAGCAAAAGCATTTCTCTGCTGTGGGGATCACACAGGAGAGTGAATGTATTGGAATTGGAGCCTTATTACCAGGGCAGGAACAAGTGTACGTTTTTCCTGATACCCTAGATGTGGAAAACTAGATCGTAGCAGAAAATAAATAGTATAAGCTGTCACTTTGTAGTTTGAACTCTGCTACTCCACAGCACAAGTACCAGGAAGAGAATGCAATGATCTAAGCTAATGAGGGAGAACTCAGAAACCTTGATGCCATTCTTAGTCTGCAGTTCTGCCTGTGCTGTGTGCTCAGGTGTCACTGAAGTACACATACCAAAGTAGATTTTGGTGGCATCTGTTCAGCTGCCTAGGGAGCCTTGAGTGCCTTGGGAAGACTTGTGTGCTGGAATTTCATTGTTGTCCAGCCTGGCATGGGCATATCTGGTCATTTCACAATCCTTGTTTCCAGATTACAGTTGGAGGAGACTTGAAAGTGTAATTCCTATTAGTAGAAACTCTCACATTGGTTGTGTCAGCACAATGTTTGGACTAAATTGGCAGCTGTTTCTGAGATAAATTGAACTCAAATTGAGCTTGTACAATAATTCTTCTTGGAATTACCTTGTAAGTGATATTTGGAAAAGTAAATCACAATCTTTTCAGGTCAATTACTTAATTTTGCACAATCACACACTGTGACCTTAGGTTAGG